ACGACGACTACTACTACTACTACAACAACAACAGCAGCAACAACAACAACAACTACTACTACTACTACTGCTGCTGCTACTACTACTACTACTACTACTACAACTACTACCATTACTAGTACTAAGAACACCTATAAAGCCCTAGAGAACCACCCTGATAGAACCCCCTTATACGTAGCTCCCCAAGAAGGTTCGAAGCTACCTTCTCCACTGCTAAGACAAGCATTGCCGGAGGCTTTCTTATCCCGAGGTCCTGAAGAAGCCGATGCAACTACAGAGGGGCCCCTTACAGCTTAAGATAGGGTTTATGGTATGGCCGTAGTATGTGTCGTAGCGGTAGCAGTGGCAGTAGTAGCAGATGATTATCGGCATTCTGGTCGTTCACTGACATTCGTGATTGATGATAGGTCGAAATTACTGAGGTATCGCATGCCAGACTATCTCTAAAGTACCGAACTGTCCGAACTTCCAACCATCAATCCCACAACTGGGTCATCCTCCAGAGGGTCTAGACTTTTGTGGACTGAATCAGCTGGCGCTTGAACCTGCACCCAACATGACACCCGTCCGATCTCGAGGTAGAATCTAAAGGATCCAATTGGGGCCCTTCCTGCCCACGACATGACACCTCCCTACTGCAAGAAACAGGGCGTGGATGCAAACTCCCAGTTTGGGGCTAAGGCCGAAGGGTTTAGGGAAACAAGTAGGTTTGCGGGTTTCAAAGTTCTCTAAGGACTGACTGACTGCTTCTCATTCTCAGCCGCGGCAGAAAGGGCACCCAATGCCATCTGCGCCAATGACCATGAAGCTTAAATCTAAACCATCCCAAACCCTAAACCCTCAACGCTAAAGCCTGGACTCTGAAGTCTAAGCCTTAAAGTCTGAGCCCTAAACCCCTGAAGCCTACACGCTAAACACCTAAAACCTAAACCGCAAAAACCTTAAACCCTAAAACCTTAAACCTTAAACCCTAAAGCCCTAAACCCTAAACCTCAAACCCTAAACCCTAAAACTCTAAGCCCTTAAAAAAGTGCCCCGGGCCGGTGACGATGTCAGACTTTTGAGAAGTCGTAGTCTTCGCCTCAGGAAGCTGCTGAGCTCAAGGAACGACGAGTTGAGGGTTCTGGGGTTTAGGTTCCGTGGCTTTGGGTTTAGAGTTTAGGGTTTTGGGGTTTAGGGTTCTGGGGTTTAGGGGTGTAGGGTTTAGGGTTTTAGGGTTTAGGGTTCCGGGGTCTAGGGTTTGGAGTTTAGGGTTTAGAGTTTAGGGTTTAGGGTTCCGGGGTCTAGGGTTTGGAGTTTAGGATTTAGAGTTTACGGTTTTAGGGGCTTTGGGGTTTAGTGTTTAAGTTTAGGGTTTAGGGTTTAGGGTTTTGGGGTTTAGGGTTTAGGGCCTTGGGGTTTTGTGGTTTTGAGGTTTAGGGCGCTGAGGGCCAGGGTTTAGGGAGTGGTATAGGGTTTAGGGTTTAGGGTTTAGGGTTTAGGGTTTAGGGTTTGGAGCTTCAGGGTCGGTGTTGCGCACGGCGACCTCAACATATCGAGAGATTTAGGCTTCAGTTGTGTTGTCTTTTGGAGGAAAGCTGCTCAAAGCCGGCTTCACCAACACCACAGGTCCTAAACCCTAAGCCCTAAGACCCTAACGCCTTAAAACTCTAAACGTTGAAGCCCTGCAGCCCTAAACCCTAACCCTAACACCCGAAGCCTTTCATCCCAACGCCCTAGAACTCTAAACGTCAAAGCCCCACAGCCCTAAACTCTAGCACCCGAAGCCTCTAAACTTAACCCTGAGGCCTTAATGCCCTAAAACTTAAAACCGGGTGGAGGACTTTCTGACCTTCATTATCTTGGCCATTGGATCGGCAGTCTTCATCCTAAGGGCAGACCGAAAACAACAATGCTATCGTAGTTCTTCTTGCTGCCATCATTTGTGCTACTACTACAAGCATTGTTACTTATGGATTATAGATTTTACTACTATCTTTCAGGATATCATTCATATCTCCATGGATACGGTTATTGTTTGCACTGTGATTATTACTATTATCATGTTCTTACTTATTTTTGTTGCCATGAAGTCTAGTCGTATTGCTGTACGGGTCCCAGAAATATCGATCTGCTCTTAAGCCTGGCTACGAAGGTCCTTTTTTCGTTTAGGGTTTAGGGTATGAATCCCGTCCTACTGGCACATAGACCCACCGGTTTTCAGGGTTTCGGGTTTAGGGTTGGGGTGGGATGGGTTTAGGGTTTAGGGTTTAGGGTTTAGGGCTTAGGCATTTAGGGTTTGGGGTTGAGGTTTTAGGTTTCAGGGTTAGGGTTTGGGGGGTGGGGGAATGGCATAGGTGCCGGAACGCTTCGTAGAGGTATCCCCGCCAACTTGTACGCTGGACGAAGGCCACGGCCAGCCGCCCAATTAGCGGTGCCTGCTAAACCCTATAACAAACAAACAAACATACATACATACATACATACATACATGCATGCATGCATGCATGCATGCATGCATACATACATATGTATATATACAGATTGTAAAAGCCTATTTTGCGGAACCGATTAAATATTCTAAAGCCATGTAGAAAACCCACTATACTATTTATTGAGGGCCCGATATCGGGGGTTTGGGTTCAGATTGCTTTGGGTTTATCGTGAACCCCAAAAAGTTGGAACATGGATTCAGGAGGATTAGTGCTAGGATCCCTTATACTTTACCTTAAGGGCATGAGGATAACGATGTTCTAACTTTCTGGCTTCTACTCTAACCCTAAACCCTAAACCCTAACCCTAAACCTATTTTAGGGTCCCCTGGGTCGCTGCCGAGTAGCAGGGAGCTGGCTTCGTCCCCTCGCTGCAGAACTTGAGGATGATCGGAAGCCTGCAGAGTGAGACTACAATAAGTTATAATAAGGGTTTAGGGTTTAGGGTTTAGGGGTTTAGGGGTTTAGGGTTTAGGGTTTAGGGTTTAGGGTTACTAGTAAGGATATTACTATGCAGGCTGCTATACACTATATTATAAGGTTTAGGGTTTGGGGTCTAAGGATTACGATAGGACTTGAAAGAAGGTTGTTACACTGGCTGTTGTAAGGATTACGACAAGAGCTGCTATAAGGAGTTGTATGAACCCTAAACCCTAAGCCCTAGACCCTAAACCCTAAACCCTGAATCCTAGACCCCAGACCCTAAACCCGAAGGATTTCTTTGTGGATTAGTCTTGGGCTTGCTTTGCGGACTACGAAATGGGTTATCATCCCTGAAGCTTCAAATCTACGGCTTCGACAGTCCATGATAACGGGGCCGTAGGGTTTAGGGTTTAGGGCTTAGGGTTCAGGGTTTAGGGCTTATAGGGTTTAGAAACCCAACAGCTCCTAAAGTAAGGAGGCCCCAATTTCTGAGCCCGGACGCCGTAAGCCCCAAAAGACTAAAGTCCATAAGCGCTACCTCAGCCATTAGCCCCTAAAGCCCCCACCCCTACAAAGTTAACTCTAAAACCCGAAACCCTAAACCCTAAAACCCTGAAGCCCTACGTAGACCCTGAACCCTATTAAAGCCCAAAACCCAAACCCCAAGCGCCCAACCTCAGTGAGGCGCATTTGATCTCCTCTTGGCAGATAGGCGAGGCCTCACTGCAAGAAGAGCGTCGGATGGGAGGTCCCTTTGAAGGGGGGTCCGGGCTTTATAGGAGTTTAGAGTTTAGGGTTTGGGGCTTAGGGTTTTAGGGTTTTAGGGTTTTAGAGATTTAGGGTTTAGGAGTTTAGGGCTTTAGGGTTTAGGGTTTTAGGTTTAGAGTTTTAGGGTTTTAGGGTTTAGGGTTTAGGGTTTAGGGTTTAGGGTTTAGGGTTTAGGGTTTAGGGTTTAGGGGTTTAGGGGTTTGGGCCTGACTCTTGTGGGGTCCAGGGACAGGACTCCTCATTGGGATTTGCAGGGCCTGCGCCTGAGCCGAAGAGGTGTAGACCGTAAGCCATCAAGCCCGGAACGCGAAACTGGTGTCTAGTGTATGTTATGGCAAGAACAGATTGAGGAGCCCCCGAAGAAACAGTATCCCTAAACCCTAAACCCAGTATTGGTTCTCATCCAGACCCCTATCTTGGGTCATTGGGGGCCTTCCGCACTTCTATGCTGTCCCGGAAGTTCACCCCGATCCCTTGACCTCAAGCTAAAAGCCCCAAAACCTCAAATACATAACCTAAACCCTAAACCCTAAACCCTAAACCCCAAAACCTCAAATAAATCTGCCCGAAACCCGAATCCTGCTTTAAAATTTAAAAGCCAGTAAAACCGACCTAACCCCTGAACCCTGAAGCTCGAAACCCTGAAAATCGAAAATCCTGGTAACCACCTCTAAACAGCACATAAACAATCTAGAGTTCCATCCCGAAGACCCTGATTCTCACAGCATCTTCCGAGAACCTCTCCTTCAACCCTAAACCCTAAACCCTAAACCCTAAACCCTAAACCCTAAACCCTAAACCCTAAACCCTAAACCCTAAACCCTAAACCCAAACCCTCTAAGCCCCTGATCTCCCAAAGCCCCTAAACCGTAAAGCCCAATCAAGGCCCTACTACAGCCCTTAAACACAAAGCCTGAAGCACCCCCCCCCAAAAAAAAAGGTTTAAACCTATTCTAATTACTAAGTCCACTATGTTACAGCCCTTAAGCCCTAAACCCTAAACCCCTAAACCCTAAACCACTAAACACCTAAACCCTAAACCCCCAAACCCTAAACCCAAACCCCTGAACTCTAAACCACTAAACCCCTAAACCCTAAAACCCTAAACCCCTAAACCCCTAAACTCTGGACCTAACTTCTTAGATGCCAAAAGCATCGCGAGGCCCGTGTATGTCCAGGTTGT